AAAGGCTCGACGGAACCGAGTTTCGCTTTGGAGTTTTCGGCATTCATTTCTTTCGTAAAATGATTGTATAGGTAGATTGCTGAATAGATGAGTTTTTGCATCTATGTTAGCCACCATCAGCATGCCGTCGTACCTTTTATACTTGGCTCACTCTATATGGGTCCGCCATTTCCCAGGTGAAGTGGAACCGGAGGGGCAGCCGGAAGAGCAAACAGAGGGTATCGCTTCAAACGAAGATGGAGGTCCACTGCGTAACTACTCACTCCTATCGTCACTACTCCTTGCTACGGAATCAGTGCGGCCACTCCTCCCTGCTGTACATCGCACTCAACACCCTACCAATCGTAGCGGGGTTAACAGAGACCGGCCTATGCCCTGAAACTCAAGACAGCGTCTAGCACCAATAGAGCCTTAGGCCCCATGTAAGAATGTTCCTAGCGTGGCTCAAGCTTCCGGTCAACCCTCCGGATGCTTCTCCGCAACTAACTCCGCTGAATTCCGTCGTTGCCCCATAAGCTGGCGCATGCCGGACGCAAATACGGCAACAAACGTGCTCTAGTTTCGAAAACTTCTTTTTATGCGTAAAGTGATAAATGTATTAATATTACAAACTACCTATATGTGGGTAGATGTAAGCCTGAGTGGTGAGTTCCGTGTACAAGGCTGTCTACGTCGTCAATAACAGGGGTGACTTCCGTTGAAGAAGGGCACTTTCCGTACACACCGATGCTATACCGTACTTTTGTGCATGTGTACAAAGAGGATTGAAGCAATGAAATGTCACTTTATCTGCCCAAATCTATAAATAAATGTAAACTTGATGGCCGTTGAGGCTCAGCCTAATTTTAGCTTTGAGGTACCATAAGCACCTCCAACTCTGTATGATATCCAGATTGCACCGGTTTCAGAGATTCAGACAATCGAGAGAGTACGCCGGCCAGTCTAGGTTGGCTTTGTAACCGCCTCAACTGTATTTCTCGTCCCAGCATATCAGTTAGTAGTAGCGCAAGCTACCAGATGCAACACGGCATGCCTCGTCCGCATTTTAATCAAGGTTAGACAGTGTTTTTATATGCCAACCATAGTTGATGTGGTGATCTCTAGAAATATTATAGGCTCAAGGGTGTCAAGCTCCTTGATCTACCAAAGTGCCCAGGGGATCACGAATCAAACAAGTTGACGTGTAGAGAACATGAAGCTTCTTGGAAGTCAAATTCAAGTTCGAACAAAAGCTACCAGCGAGAGAACATTCAGTCGTTGCAGCCTGGCAGTCCAAATGGTATGTTCCCTCTCCAACGCCATCTACAAACAATACCGGAAGGCAGTGTTTTCCCCGTCCGTCAGGTCATTCTCGGCCGCCTCCAGGCCAGCAACAGTCTGATGTTCAACCTTGCCGTATTCACGGTCCCTCCTCTTATTCTCAATGAAACAAAGGGCAAAGTATACCGCACCGCAAACTCCTTGCACAGCAAATGCAGTCATCATGGCGTAGATCCCTAGGGGATAGTGAGGAGCTTGAGTCTCAAGAAACAGCTGTGGGCCAATGATGTTGCCAATCGCGTAGAGGAGTGACATGGAGGTGGTGGCAAACGATCTCTTAGTAGCACCAGCATTGTTTGATGAAACAAGGGACATTGCCATGACCCAGGATACGTTATAGAATCCCATCATGTAGACGCCTGCGAGAGCACCACCTCGGTTTGTGGCAGGATCGAGAACTAGCAAGGATTGCTATTAGCGTCACGAAGCTTGGCTGAGCTCAATAGCTGAACACTTACCACGAATAAGCACAGCACCCACGAGCCCGGGAAGAGTTGAGAGGGCCCATATTAAGCATCGGATATTTGGCACATGGTTTGCAACAGCGGAGCAGGTGATCGCAAAGAAGGTAGCTACTGCCGCCTGCGGCGATGCCAGCAAGGCTGTTCTCTCCTTAGAATAGCCAAAGCCGGATATAATTAAAGGGTTGAACTACATGAAAATGTCAGTTTATGTTATCTAGGAACTAAAGTCAGACAAAACTTACGTTGGTAATGCCAGCATTGACGATGCCCCAAGCAATAACGTAAAGCGCCAACACCCAAAACTTGGGATCGATCAGTGATTCAATAATCTGACCCCACTTGAATTGATGAACATTGCCTTGTCCTGTCTGATTTGGCGCAATCCTGATCACCTTGTTCTTCTTGTCTTCGACATTGTAAAACCAAGCAAGAGATGGATGATCCGGAAGTAAGAAAAAGATTGCAACACCCAACCCAAGACTCACAGAGCCATAGATGAGGAAAATTAGCTTCCAAACAGGATACTGACTATCAAGCTTAGAGATGGCAAAGGCAAAAATGCCACCCAAGACGCCAGCCAGGGTGTTGTACCAGATGGCGGTGCGGAGGGGCTGCTCCTCACGGCGGTACCACGTTCCCGTCAGTATCATGTTGATAGGCACAATACCCGCCTCGAAGAAGCCCAGCAGAAAGCGAATGGCAGCAAGGCCCGCAAAGCTGTTGCACGCCATTATGGAGCACACCAGGACGCCCCATGTCAGGACGAGGAACGACATGAGCTTGGCCAGGGGCACCTTCACTAGGATCCACCCTAGCGGGAATTGCGCAATCATGTATCCAAAATACACAATCGAGCCTAACCAGCTGTACTGCTGCCCGTGGAGATGCGTGTCGTCTTTCATTCCGAACAGGGCTGCAAAACTCAGCGCGTTCTGTGGAGGGAAAGTCAGCGAAAATTGATCCCCTCGTTGCATCAGGGGTTTGGCTTGCCTTGTCAAGCAACGCAATGACTGACGCCATCGTCATGAGAGGAAGAACAATGAAGTCGACTCGAAGTCTCAGTCTGCGGTTGGTTTTGGAGTCCAGTGTCTCGGTCTCAAGCTCTTCCCCCTTCAGGCCAATTTCGTTGACGATGCCATTGTCCTTGTTGTCAGCCGCACCAGTAATACCAGCGGCGTTGTTTGACGACTTGTCCATTGCCAAGGGAAGCTACTGCAAATGGCGTATATCTGATAACTCGTCCTGCTGAAGATAAGATGGTGTGGTCCCCTGCGTGATGTTTGGTTGCGCCTTGTGGCTGTAATATAATCGTACTTCCTCGTGGTAGATGGCGTCACTCTTTTATTTATACATGTACCTACCAAGAGATTATCCAGTTTTTTGAGAAAACTTGCCAGGTTCGCAAACTAACTGGTGCTATTTAGACAAGGGACTAGGCATACCTGGTCGTTCATGGACTGATCCGTATAACTTAAGTATGATCATGATAGTGATATACGCAAGGCCGAGTGCCGCTCACCCCCACACACAAGATCCATTCATGATAAGAAAACCCCACTCCCCCGTCGGACAATTGACGCCGAGCAGCAGGAATGATTGCCAGTGCAGCAAGGAAGGCTATCGGAAAAGAGATAGGCAAGTGAAGCCTCCAGATGAGTGGCTCAAAGGCGATCGGAGTCATGTTAGGCTCGATACAGCACGTGGCTTCGGGTGGCTGTCGGCATACACGGAGCCCTCATCGGAAGGCTGCTGGAGTTGATCCCCGGTTTCGGGCCCAGTCTACCAGATAAGTGGCACGGAATAGGCTAACATCCCAGTCCTGAGCCACTTCCATCCGACCTCGTGGGACTTCGCTTCATCCAGGCGAGCCCACGCGAGGGAACTATTGCGCAATTAAACCCCTGGGCCCACGGCAAGCGTTTCGTATTAAACATTTCCAGCCGGCAGGCTGACACTCCATTCTTCTAGCTTGTGTACATGAGTTATCATAGATAAACCCAATCATGAAATCTTCGCGGTACATTTCCGTGGTTGGATGCCATGCGGAGGGAGAGGTCGGCGATGTCATTGTCGGAGGAGTACGGGATGTACCAGCCAAGACCATGAAGGAGAAGTTCCTACACTTCAGGGAGCACCACGAGGATCTACGTCAATTACTACTCAATGAACCAAGAGGTCGCCTTGAGATGAGTGCCGTCTTGATTCTCCCCCCATGCGACCCTCGGGCAGACGCTGGATTTGTCGTCATGGCCAGCGGAGATTGGTCGCCCATGTCTGGATCCAACGCTATTTGCACCACAACCGTCATGCTTGAGACCGGCATGATACCCATCAAGGAACCGCTGACTGAGGTGCTTTACGATACTGCTGCGGGCTTAGTCAAGGTGGAAGCCCATTGTGAGCAAGGGGAGTGTAAATCAGTATCGCTCGACAACGTTCCGGCTTTTGTTTACGGCTTGGACTTACCGATCGAAGTCCCTGGCGTAGGGACAGTAACGGTTGACATCGCCTTCGGAGCGCGGTGGTATGTATTCGTTGACGCGGCAAGCCTAGGCCTAAAGGTCTTAAACGAACATGGGCCGCAACTCATCGACTTAGGCAACCGCATCAAAGCCGCAGTCCTGGAAAAGCACACTCCTGTTCATCCAGAATCGCCAGAGTTTCGTGGCATCGATAACATCGGCATCACTGAGCCCATACAAGAGATTGGTGGTGAAAAGATCGCCAGGCAGGCCATGGTAATTAACCCAGGTCGGCTCGACAGAAGCCCATGCGGTACAGGCAGTTCTGCAAGGATGGCCGTTCTACATGCGAAAGGCCTTCTAAAGGTCAGAGAGACGATAAAGTTTCAAAGCATGATTGGAACAAGATTTGTCTGTCATATCCGCGGCTTAACCAAGGTTGGGGACAAAGATGCGGTTCTCCCTACCATTTCAGGTAGAGGCTGGATAACAAGCTACAAACAAATAGTTCTTGATCCTTCAGATCCTTTTCAGACAGGATACCGGCTAAAATAAAAAAGAAATATCTATCTTCAGCAATTGAAGCTTCTAATTGTTTTTCTCGAGTTTGCTCTGCTTCTTCCTTGTGCAACTACCTGTTTCAAATATCTGAGCCAAAACTATTGCACATCCATTTTCCCAGCGGTGTAGCGGTAAGTCACAACGGATGTTACCATTCTTGCCTCATCTTCACAGTCTAGTCCCCTCTATTCTCTCAAAGCTTGTACCTGAAACTCGGTGCCTTATCACCCAACTCGAGCAGTTCTTTCTCTGTAGGTATCCTTGACTCGGGACCTAAAGCGTCTCTCTTCTTGTTGATCTTCCGGCACAGAAGATAGTATCCCACAACCGTAAGAAGGCCTAAAGCTGCAAAGGTCAATACCAAGGCGTGACCCAGTCTGTATCGAGGTGCATCCGTTTTCTTGTAAAAGTTGGCTGCGGCGGCGCCTCCCATAGTACCAAATCCAATTTGAATGGCCATTCCAACGGCACGTTTGGTGTGAGGGGCGTAGTTGTTTGATGCAAGCGCCAACAGACAAGGAATGCCTAGAAAATTCATATTAGATACACAAATCCCGGTGATCGGTTTCGTAGGGGAGTTGCTCACTGGGATACATCCCACATGCTGCGATAAAACATCCAGCGTAGCTCAAGCCAGGGATAAAGTTGGACGGGGCAACTGCAATGAGAAACCCAACAAAGACGGCGATATAGCATCCCATTGCGAAGATGCCTCTTTTCCCGGTTTTATCCGCGTAATAGCCAACCACAAGAGTGAACACTGTGGCTGCAGCATACACCGGGATGGTCAACAGTTGCGCAATCTGGGCAGTGTAGCCAAGCCCATTGATGATGGTAGGGAGAAATAAGGACAATGCATACACGGCAGTAGCCTGTTCATAATTAGCAAAGGTAGATCAAAGGGACGATGAACATGTACTAACCATTCCCCAATAATTGATAGCATGGAAGATGGTCTTTGAATCTGTTAGCTCGCGCCGCAATATCCCAGTTATGTTGCACTGACCTGCCAATCTGTGAATGCTTTCCATGCATGCGACGATTTCTTCTCTCCCTTTTGTCCCAAGGTAGGGTTATTTGCAGACTCCGCGTTGCTCTCAACACTACCCTCATTCAACAGCTTCCGTAACACCAACTTCTCGCGGTCTGTTAGAAATTTTGCAGTAGCCGGTTCATCCATGACCATAAAGTACGCAAAGGCAGCAACGATAACAGTCAGTATTCCTTCCAGGATAAAACTGTATCAAAGTTAACAGGGAGGACGATTGTGGATAATGACGATTGGGAAATTCATACATCCATCGCCATCCTTCTAACCCACCAACCCCATCCATCTTGTCAATGAGATAGGCCAGAAGGCCGGAGAATGCGCCTGCCATGGACGCGGAAGCGAAGACCATCGCAAGCCTAAACTGTGCGTTTTCTCTCGGGTACCTGTACTTCCATTAGTCAAAAAACCGATGACATATCGCGCGAGCGTATTCCGTACCATAAAGACATGTAGAATGCAATTCCGGGGACTATTTTCCATTGGTCAGGTCGCTTCCTTACGTTATCTCCAAGGGTCGTAGCACTTACAAAGCCCAGCTTCAGTCATACCAAGGAAGAATCTTGCAGCCAGCAGCCCTGAGTAGTTGTGGACGATGCCGGTCAGGGTGGTGGCGATTCCTAGATTGCATGAGCTCGTTGTTCTCTGGTTTTGAGAGTTGTTATTTCCTACCCCAAAGCACCATTATGGAAGGTAGCCAGCGGCTGGGACTAAATTTGACGAGCAATAGGTTGCAAAACGGCTCAAAGAAGCTATATGGGAAGAAGAAAATCGTCAACGCCCTAGATTTGATGGTAAGCCTCATACATTCACAAACGTCTCGTAAAAGCAGCTAATCGGGTGTCATACCAGTTGTATTGGTTGCCAACCAAGCCCAAATCCGCAGACAATCCCAATACATTTGCATTTCCGATGCTCCCTGCTCGCGGTCAGCACCATGTTTGATGCAACGACGGATAAGTGATTACCTCGGTCTAAAAAGCTGAGAAGATATAGGATAGCCAAGATTGGGACCACTCGGAGATCGATTTTACGAAGGATCCTTTGGCGTTCATCCTCGGACACTACATCCTCAGTGTGCGGTTTCGAAGTTGGCGTTTGGCTTTGATCCTCGAGGTGGATGGACTCCAGCGCTTCTTTCGTTTGACCCACCTCCATGGTAAATGAGAGGTATGAGTCTGGGAATTGGCGAGAAGTTGTGGCAAGGTAATCCTCTTGCTTACATTTCCCTAGGAGCGCCCAGCATTTTAAACAATGCGAAACCTCGCCGTAGTCGGACCTGAGCCGCCCACAGCCAAGGGACCGCCTCAATATCCCCGCATCATTCCCTCGTGTTACGTCCAGTCAATGAGTTCATCGCCCTTGTCAATGTGGGGAGTCAAGGGAGGATGCCTGTTCACAGTGCAATTCACAAGCTGATCTTCCCCACCACTATCACCGCCGGTTTGCGGGGGCACATGACCGCCTATCGTTCTCCGCATGTAACCTCGGAAAATCCAGGATTATATCCCTCTGTGCGGTCGGTCTTCAGGCTTCATGGACTCGGATACTGAGAATTGCATTGACTTACCATTGATAGTTTCAGGGGTTGTATGAAGAGTTGCGGTCAGTGGCAAGGTTGTCGCCAGGGTCTGGTTAATCTATCTGCCACGTGGGATGAGGGATGAGGATGAGGGATGAGCTCCAATTGTTAACTTTAATTTGATGACAGAGAATTCACTCTATAATTTCTATGAATGCTTTGGTGCTAATGGACATCAATGTGTAGCGTGGAAGATATACATAAGGTCAGCCTTAAGACAATTGTGTGAGTCTGCCCATACAAACTGAATGACAAACAACTCGATCGTCTTTTGTCAGCGACATGTTAAATGTCATCAACAATTTAGCCAAAAACTGGGTCAAAATATACATTAGAATGATGTGCCATAATATTTGATCGTCCCCCAAGATGCTAAAAGCAGGATCAGGCAGACCACGTAGAGAGTAGTAGATGGATATAGGGTAGGCTGAGCATGGTGAACTTGAATGTGTCATTGCCTCAAGCCGGGAGCTGAAGAAACAAACCCAAGAACCCTTTACGATATAGGCAGTAACAGGCTGCAATATCCTTTTCCGTAATTAAAAAACGAAAAAGCATCGTTTCGGAATTTGTGGAATATTCGTGAGAAGAAAGTGCATGCGATCGATTCATGCACCAGTCCTCGCATATCGGCTCTTTGTTGTTTCATCAATTAGCCACAATCCAATCAGCTATCTTCCGAAACACTTTGCCCGGAAAGGCGACAGTTGTTGTTTCATCTAGGGTAATGCCAGGTGCCTCCGAGATTGTTCTCAGGGGGCTTTGCACATGTCGCTCTTCATGGAGGGATTGCTCTCCTCCCGAGCCCTCTTTGACCTGGAGCAAGCGGTGTGAAGGACAGACGGAGAATGGGAGTATTAAATTGGTAACCATTTATCATGTACTATATATTTTAGTTTGACTTTGTATGCATGAATATTTTCATGAAGAAAGGAAAAAGGTCTATATGCAATCATTAAAATCTACAGTCCAACGTTATAAAAAAAAAACATCGCCCGCTCTCGTTAAATGTGAAGCTCCTGGATCGGATACGGGACAGCGGACCCGTTGACGAAGAGCGTGTGCTGCTCGTCCTTGAACTGGCTGTGCAGCCGGTCGACCAGCATCCTCATCACGCTCCTCTGCAGGATGGTTACGGTCTTCTCCTTGGTCTGCCAGTTGTGGCTGACAAAGTGGCCGCGGCACGCGCCCTTGCCCTCCTCGTAGTACTCGTTGCCGTTGGCGTGGGCGCAGGGAATGTTGCGCACCTCGTCGGGCTCGGTGAAGTTGTACCGGATGTAGTAGGAGAAGGCCGACTGCTCGTGCGCCCAGTTGTGCTTCCAGTGGTTGCAACCCTCAATCTTCTCGGGGCACGTCTCCCACATGTCCATCATCTGGCTTGTCCGCTCGCTGGCCTGCGCGATGAGGAATCCGGTGTTGAGGATGATCTTGCCCTGGGGGTCGTAGTCGGGCGGGATGTCCAGGTCTTCGGCCATGGCGATGAGGGTGTGGGGTTTGTAGTCCCAGAGGTTCATGAGCCACTCGATGGGGAGCTCGAGGTGGGTGATGACGGCATCGGCGTCGAGGAATATCACGTAGTCGTGCGTCTTGAGAGCCTCCTTGAGGATGCTAACCTTGACCCATGTACCGTGTCGATCGGGGTAGTCGCCGGCCTTGATGAGTCGGTAGTCATAGCCGTGGATCAATGCTATTAGTGGTAGTTAGCAATCGGCTGCACGTTCCTCCAGAGATGGTCATTCTTCTTCTTCCACTCACCATAGAGATAGTGATTCAAATGGCCACCAGTTCTTCCACCAAGCTTCGAGAAGTCAAACGGATTGGGGTTCAGCAGCGTGTTCTCATTGTCCTCGCTAACTCGTGTGTCGACATCGATGACCACTACCTTCTTCCCAAGCGGCTTCTTCCAAATCTGCTGGGTGGGTGGGATTTCGAAGCGGACGCCCTCGTTGGTGATAAAAACGGGGTTCTCAAGCGGGTGGCATTTTGGCTTCCACAATTGTGCCAAGAGGGCAGGCAGGTCGAGGTTCTTGTCGACGTGTGTGCTTTCGACGAAGGTTGGCTTCGGCTGCTCGATGATCGCTGTCGAGGTAGCCGGCACCTCCACGGCGATCGATGTATGAGCAGCGGGCGAGTCTAACGCTGGTACTTCAGTGGGCTCTGCTAATACCGACGAGACTGGTCCGGCCGTGTGTTTATGTTTAGAGTTGGCATCGTTGGGCGATGGTGCGGTCCAATGCCCGTTGTTAAGCAAGTCTCTGTGGGAGTGCAATTGTATTAGCTCACAGCCCACCTGTCTGAACCGACGAGGGGAGAAAATGATCAACTTACTTCGACAGGCTAGAGGACAGGGCCAGGTAGAACAATACCAGGATGGAGGCGGCAGCAGCAATACGAAATCCCCAAGCGGTGCCCCATCGGCCGAGGGCATATTGGTTTATGACTACCATGATGAACACTTGCTGCTGGTGGAGAGGGGAAAAGAGGGACTTCCAGCACGCATAAAAATTCAAGAAAACGAGGGTCAGAAGACAGAGGAAAGCAGGAAAATGATCTGGCTACAAGTGCGGGTTATGAATACGAGTTCACTTTAGGCTAACCCCAAATCTCGCTTCCCAGGTAGCATCAGAATGTGTCTGGGGGGTCTGAGGGCGGCATGAGGGGTACATCTGGCGCACACCATCTTCAATAATGCCCTGATGCTATTTACGAAGGCGAATAGGAAAGCGAGAAGCTGTTGATAGTGTGCGCTATTCTCAAATTCTCGATATGGTTACGGTAGCTCGGTACATGGGTGTGTCCCTGAAATGAGCGGGTATCACAGAAATACCAGCATTCCGATCCAGGGGGGCTCGAGCGCTCGGGGCACAGCAGGAACTGGGTAATTATGGAGAGTCTCACTACCGAACCTATGCGGGCCGCTAATTAGAAAATCTTGCGCTCATGGCTCATGAGTTGGGAGAGGCGTAGGAGTTCATCAAGTGACAGGATCGCTTCATTGTCCGTACGTTTGGCCACGCTCGATATGAGTAGCTTATATCAGCGTGCCGCATTCACCGTTACGACTTCCTTTGCGAGTAAATATCAACGCAAAGAATTTTGCGACGTATGCATCCTCCTTGAGCTGACTCAGATTGGCTTGGGCGCTACAAATGCCTGACAGGTGCCCATGAGCAGGGGTAGGTCGATATTGATCCACGTGTACGTACCCAGTAGATAGGGACCTTGGAAGAAATAATAACAAGGGATTTACGGTATATAGATGGCGTATTGGGGGAGGGAGACGTGGATCTACGTGACGGGTGGTACGTACGCATGTCCGTACAGTAGAAATACCTCAGTCAGATCAGTCTGATTGTCATATTCTCGCTTCTCTGCCACCGCTTTCAAGAGACAAAGGAGGCGGTCTGCCTGGGAAGGGATACTGTGGTGCAACTGTCCCGATCCTTCTGGCGACTCCTGGCTGATCTCAGTGTCTCATGAAGGCGTGTGTCTTGAACAACAGCACAACGGTGACGATCGTTGGGGTCTCGGCGCCGAGCGATGACAGGGGGCACTCATTTCAGTGACAGACCAATTACATTTGCTCTATTCTCAGCTGATGGAGCCGGTGGAACTAATTTTGCTCTGCCCGTCAGAATCAACCAAAGATCTGTGTGACGCCCAGCCCTGTGGACCCGAATAGGGCTTCTGCTAAGAGTTTTAATTAACCAAAGGTCCATCTGTTATGTTGGCTGGAGTATCTCGGTAAGAATAGGCTCCATGGGCCGAGTTGTCACACCGCGAGTCTCGAACCGCGTCTTGGCACTTCAGCCATGTTTTGGGCGTTTTCTTTCCCCTTCCGTTTGTCCTTTTCTTTGCTTCTTTCTCGGCGTCAGTCTCAAGAGCGAGGCCTCACGCTATTGGCTTCGGTGGATGGATACTACATCCCCCTAAGTGCTTCAGGACGCTGACATCTCACGCCAGTGGCCATTAGCTGACGCAAGCTCCGGCCAGGGTTACGAATTCAGCCAAGCCGCCCATCTCACTGCTCTTATCACCTCCTGACGGATGGAAGAGCCGGCATTTGGGCGGGCCTAACGCGTCCCGAGGCGTTCACTAGTATTGGGGCCAGGCGCGCGGGTCCATCTTGGAGCGTTTGCTAATTGTAAGATCAGCAAACAGCTCGCAGCAACCTACATACACGCAGAATTCTCGCTTGGGTCCCCCTTTTCGACTGCTCCACCAAGCGTGGTCTAAAGCGAGAATCCCTACAATACTAGAACAAATGCGGGTAGACTTGGCACGACATGCTGACATCTTCTTTCAACCATTCTTCATGCGTTGGGTCTAACAAACTCAAATTGGGCCAGATCGTCTCGCTATCTTACAGCTTCATCCATTAATTTGCTCCTAACGCGGTAGGTTTCCCCCTGGCGCATGTAGTTTCGTCCCATGTGCTTGGTATCTGTCGTGGACGGAGTTTGACCTCTCAAGCGCCCCTGCATCAATCAGCCTGGGTTGATTGTCTCTAGGGCCCATGAGTAATGATCAGCGAATCTAGAATCTAGAATGCCAAGCAAACTATCGAGACGATAGTGCCCTGCGTAGCGTAGGGACTCAAATCAGGGGCTGTTGTGATCTATCACCTTCTCACCCTGTGAGAATCATTAGCTCCCAAGTGCTTGCTCGTAGTGTGACGTGGGGATGCAGTCTACCATGCCAGCCGTCAACGTCCGGAATACCCTTCGTGAGAAGCTTAAGTGCAATTACTCCTACAACCCGTCTGCCGGCCGTGTCCGTAAATAGCTGATCCTCACCGCGCGTGAGGCACCTTCTTTATTGAGAACCTCGAGAGTGAGAGAATCCATTGTCAGCTGTGGCTCGTCCCTACACTCTTGGCAGATCTTCAAGTCCTTATCTGAGCCCATCATTTCGATGGCGACATGTTCCCCCTGAAGCTAGTTAGCTAGTCGTTGGTCTTGCTTGGATGAATTCGTCCTCATGCATGAAGCACAGGCCCTCATCAAGGGTGTAGTCATTCTCGCTTCTCCCAAGGGAAAGATGCGAGATGACTCTGCAGTGCAGATAACCCTTTTCAAGATATTGCATCGCAACGAATAGGGGAATTATATTTTGCGCTAGGTAGAGGATTCTACAAGAAGTTAAAGTGTTGCCGCGATTGACAAGTAGTTTTACTGTGTGAATATTGTGTAGCCTTATTTCACATTTGTCTTCCACATTAATTAAGTAATGCCACCTATTGTTCACACATAGGTTGCACTTATTTAGAAAATCTAAAACTGGTTTGAATTAATGTGCCAGAATACACGCGGGCTAATGTTCCCTTGGTGAAGGCTCGTATGGAGCTTGCGATAGAACAGGTCATCGCGTGTTGGGTTGCCATGCCGCACATGGCCCCGGAATGTTCAATCCCTTCCAGCTGTTTGGGTTGGCCGAAGCCTCTTCTTTAATGCACATCACATTTAATCGAAGATGACCGAGCATATATTTCAAAACAGCCATGAAAGATCCCAGACCCAATATCCAACACAATAACACACAACTCATCGACACCATGCTAATTATCCAAGTTCGGCGCCGACGATGCAACGAGCAATGAAACTCTGTGGCAGCTCTAAAAGGCGTTTTTTCTGATCTCCCTTTATAGTTGAGCCGGCCAGCACAGCTTTTGATTTATTCAAATAAGCTGAACTGAAAACCTTCCAAAGCTGAATTCGGACCTGGTCCACGCCTGTGCCATTTGTTCCCGAACTTAATATTGGCCTTGGATAGTACGGGTCATTTTCAAGGAATGCTTGGGCCAGGTGCTCAACAAGCTTATCTTCGCCGCCAGATGAGAAAACCTGCGCCATATCCCATCTTGAACACAGGTTGAAGTCCAAAACCCAGAGCCTCGTTGGCCGTTGCTTGAAATTGGCGGATACAATCTCATCAATGTTTGTATGTGTAGGCATTGATTCCACTTCCTCTGCCTTCATTCGAACTTGAGGTACGGTGGCCGGTTCTGGATGATGGATTGCTTCCGCTTCACTGCCAAGAACAAATTCGATATCATATGCATCGATATTTGCACGCCAGTGGATAACGGCTAGTGCTTCTCCAATGGCCCTGGAATAATCCAAGATGGGCAGTTTCAGCTCCATCATCTGATCAAGATGAAGATTGAAATTTCGGAGCGTAAAGTTGGGAGACTTGGGTGCGTTGGGTAAACGACTTCGGCCCAGGTAAATACGAGCAAGGCAGTCTTGGTTTGATGGATTTTCCGTCACTGCAGCCTTGTGCTCCTCGGGGCAGTAGAGATCAATTAACGCCGCTCGAACGACTTTTGGCAGTGGCAAGATGTATTGAGTGGCCAGTGCCATGGTTGGCAGTTCAAGCTCATCCTGAGTCGTAAAGAAATGGGAGTTTGCTTTCCACCACGATGAATTAGATGCCGTGATATATTTGTAGACGGATGGGATTCGACAATCGGTTGGAAAGTCAGCCAGGGCTTCGTAGACGCGGAGATGCGCTCGAAGGTCTCCCAGCAAGGAATCTTCGAAGTGTTTTCTTGCCAGCTTTAGTACATAGCCCCTGCTAGACTGCGCGTAAATAATTCCACATTGTCCGAATCCAACTTTTCTAAATGGGACTTTCATTTCTTGGCTATTCCTTTGACATGAAGATGTAGTAGTACATTCAGCTCGTAGGGACAGTAAATGGCACAACGCCGAGGCAGAGACATCGTCCTGATGATCGGCATCTTGTGCGTCACCTAGCTGCTGTACTAGAGCGTTTGTAAGCCGGATGTCCTCTTGGAGAGAAGAAACTGTCTCGTCAGTACTATCCAACGCGAGGCAGGATGCCATCATGTTGTCGTTGTTATTATTGTTGCTGTTATTGCTGTGGTATTGCTGTGGTATTGTCGTTGTTTGAGGGTGATTATCAACATTAGCGATTAAAGCAGTAGCGAAGTAACCGCAGCGGTGAATGTGAGGAAGAGAATCTTTGGCGTTAGGGGAAGGGAGGAGACTTATAACAATAAGGTATTTTTTTTTTTTGGGTTTGAGTAGACTTTTGAGAGTATAAGATAGTTAAAAAATAAACTTTGGAAAACTTTCTTGTTCTCTCTGGGTGTTTATACCTTTAAGCTTTATTAGTTTCATGGGTCAAGTACGATCATATCCCCCTTGAAATACTACCAGCTAGACGTCCCTTCAGTGCTACGGCCACTAAGTCCAGCGCTCTCCAAGCTACTCTATTCTCTGTAAGCTTGAGGATTGCTCATCCCCTCAGATGGCATCGGCTAGGATTCAATACCATCCATGATCTAAGTCTGAGAAAGGAAATCTCTGTCAACATGGTTTCCGATCTGGTGTGTCAATCGGGTTGCTTGATTAGGCACCAGACTGGTCACCGTCTAATGCTAATGAACGGCTTCTGTTGATGCTCTGGTCAGACAACATTTTCGACGCTTCGGCATCGCCACCGTCATGGACCAATGAGCGACTTGGATCCTTCGAGGGTGACTTCACTCGGATGACGGCTGCCTACATTTGGTTACACTGAAATATTGCGCTAAACTATATGCCATTGGAATAACTCAGGTTCCTCTGTATTTGCTGCGCCGCACCGGTTGCAGGGTTATTGGACGCCTCTCTATAAAATACAACATACTAAACGCTCATCCTCACCTTTCCATATCATTCATTAACTTACATATCATTCACCTTAGTATTCATTATCACGCATACTAGAATAAGTAACTTGAACCGGTACTAATAGGACACCATGCCGCCCCGTTCAGGTTGTCTCTATATGGCAGGCAGCGATCTGGCCTATCTCCCCCGACTTAAGACCGATCTTCATATTCATCTCATCGACACCGTTTCTCGATCAACTCTCACTCAAACCTTTGCTAATCCAAAGGATGAGCCAATGGACAGTATTGAATACGTCTTCCCGCTGTTCGGCGGAGTTTCTATCATTGCCTTTACCTGCCTTCTCGCCAACCGCACTATCAACGGTATTATCAAGGAGCGCGAGCAGGCCAAGTCCGACTACTTGGAGGCTAAGAGTAAAGGAAAGACTGCTGCTCTTATCCAGCAATCTCTCAATACATCAGATGTCTGGAGAGCTAGTATCGGCAATATTCCGGCTGGAGAGACCATCATTGTCGAGATCGTTTATCTCAGCGAGCTGAAGCATGATGCGGAAATCAATGGAGTGCGACTTACCATTCCGAAATATATCGCACCACGCTATGGAAACCAAGGAGCTTCTGAAGGCACAGGGTCTGCTGTCAAAGAAGAGGGCCTTTCTATTACTCTAGATGCGGAGATGCCTCCGGGATCTGCAATAACCACTGTCCAGTCACCTAACTATCCGATTTCTGTTAATATTGGCACGCTCTCCACTGATAAGGGGTCGCAGCCTTCTCCGAGTCGAGCTTCTGCTGTACTGTCGACTCCATCGACAGGATTCATAGAGAAAGACTGTGTCTTCGAGGTAGTAGCAACCAATATCGGCGAGCCTGCCGCTTTTATGGAAACACATGCCTCTATACCTAACCAACGCGCCTTGATGGTTACGCTCGTGCCGAAGTTCGACGTGCCCGCCGAAAAGCCTGAAATTGTGTTCATGTGTGACCGCAGTGGCAGCATGGGAGGCAAAGTCCCTGCTCTTGTTGCCGCGCTCAACATTTTCTTGAAATCATTACCACTCGGCGTGAAATTCAATATTTGCAGCTTCGGCAGTAACTTTGACTTTCTATGGCCAAGGTCTTGCACATATAACCAAGACACACTCAGTCAGGCGGTTACGCATGTCCAGGGTTTCAGCGCCAATTATGGCGGCACCGAGATGTATCAGCCGATTGAGGCTGTTTTTGAGCAGCGATATAGGGATATGAGCCTGGCCGTTTTCCTTTTAACGGATGGCCAGATATTACACCAAGAGCAGCTATTCAACCTCATCAATATTAATATCGGGAAACCTGATGCTAACGCTCGTATCTTCACCCTTGGTATCGGATCTGGAGCTAGCACATCATTAATAGAAGGAGTTGCTCAAGCGGGGAAAGGCTTCGCGCAGGCTGTCCTCGACGCAGAAAAAATGGACAAGAAAGTTATCAGGATGCTCAAGGCGGCGCTTTTTCCTCAAGTGTCTGACTATAGCCTTGAGGTAACATATGAAGATACTAGCGCTCCTCCAGAGCACGACTTTGTTGTCGTTGAGAAGGTTATGGACTCGCCCAAAAGCCCGGCCCTAGAGGAGCAAGAAAAGGTGAAGCCAGTCATATCGCTTTACAGTAAGACCCTAGAGAGCGAAGATTCGAGTGGTGACCGGGGCCCGGCCGCGGCTGACACCAAGTATGACCATCTACCACCCATCGATGTCCCCGCCTATATCCAGACTCCGACGGAGATTCCTCCTCTTTATCCCTTCAGCAGAACAACAATCTACGTTCTTTTGCCAACATCTCCAACCGAAAGAAAGCCAAAGTCAGTGGTTCTCAAAGGTACATGTTCGCACGGTCCCCTGGAGGTCGAATTCCCCATTGTACATCTCACCGAGCCATCTACTACGATCCACCAGCTGGCCGCCCGTCGAGAGATGAAAGAGCTTGAGGAAGGTCGTGGCTGGCTAGCAAACGCGAAAAACGCCGAGGGCGAGCTCTTGAGAGCCAAACACGTCGGGCGATTCTCGGACATGGTGGAGCGAGAAGCAGTACGCATCGGGATCCAGTTCCAGGTTGCAGGCAAATGGACCTCCTTCGTTGCCGTTGATGAAGGGACTGAGTGGCCCGTCGTCGTGGACGACGGCTTTCATGAACCGCGGCAAGCGGGACCGGCTCAGGTAAGGACGAAACCCCCGAACAAGAAAGCCCATTGGCAATATGAACTCGACTTTGTAAACTTTTACATGCGTGCTGACGTTGACGATATTTAGGGCGCTATGGACCGTCTTCTTGAGAAGCGGCGAGTGCCGACTATGGGGATCGAGCGCTCGCGGGATGATAGCAGGAGGAGGAGGCGTGATGCCCGGCTTGATGCCCGGAATGATGTCAATACACAAAATTCCATGATTGACCGGCTAACACAAAAGTCAGATGCAGTAGATGATGCCTCTAGGATGAACAGGGAGCGTCTTGCCCGGATTGATGGTGGTTCGATTTTAAGCGATCAGAAACAAGAGGAGAACCTACACCCACCCACCCCGTTCCAGACCCTTATCTCCCTACAGCAATTTTCTGGTAACTGGGAATGGTCTCAAGAGCTAAAAGCTATTCTTGGCTTTGATATCAAAGATAACGTTGAGTTAGCTTCCCTCAGTTCTGTAGGCTGTTATCCAGATGCGGAGATAATCATAGCGACAGCTTGCGCAGTTACGTTCCTAAAGCAGAAATTAGCAGCGGATAAGGAGTTGTGGGATATGCTGGCCGATAAGGCAGAGATCTGGCTGCGGGATAAGGTTGGAGAGGACGTCGAGCAGTTGTTCAAGGCCGTGGAGAAAGCTATGGGATTCTAGTTTGATAATATTAGCGGGCAAACATATTAATTATACAATGCCTTCTTGAGTTTCTCTTCTTCTTAATATTGAAGAAGCGAGGGAGCAGGAGGCTTGAACCTCGGTAACTATATTAAGAAAACAACTGATTAGCGGCTTCGGCTTGAGAGTTTGAGGCAAACTCTAGATACGGTGAACATGGATGTTTATTGATCGGCACAAAAGATATCATTCACGCGATCCAGATTGCGAGTGTCGCTACGTAGAAGAACAACGAATCAATTTTTCGTCAAGGGATTCACGCTGGCAGAAGATTTATGAGTGAACACAACTTTCGTTTGCTCGTAATCGACTGCGAATAACCCCAGGGGCACCTGCGCTCTATTGCCGTTTACCTACTAATCAATATCAAGTTTGGCAGTGTAGGCTTAATAGCCTGCTGGTACAAGTGGATTGATATTTTCTTGATATGCGTATACATGTAGTTTCTAATATTACAAATGGCTCTCACATATCGGTGTTTTCACTCTTGGTAAAGAAGCTAACACATAATTGGCCGGCTAATTGGTGGCGCAAAGATGCAAGATTGATGGGCAATGACGCGATCACGAAGAAGGTGGTCTAGATTGACTACCTATAAGAAGCTAAGATGTCCATTAATAGGTTTCCGGTAATGACACAACCGCTGACAAAGAGCTCGATGACTCTCCGCGACACAGCATTAGCAGAATGTCAACAGCAGACGAAAACATGGAGTACCATTGCGGCCTATGTGGCAAGTGCTTTAGTCGAAGTGAATCTTAGCTTCATTTGCTATCCTTTTATGCGAATTGAGCTAAGAATGAACTAGGGGACCTTCGAGAAAGACATCGTCGAAGGTGCGAGCGAGCTGCTACGACGCCACGAAAAAGAAAGCAAAAATCCTGCGGAGCCTGTGTCAAGGCTAAAGTCGGCTGCGACCAAGTGCAACCTTGTTGTTCTCGCTGTAAATCAAGAGGCATCAACTGTGAATATGCCATTAACTCGACTCAGCCTATCTTGACTCTTAATCAGGTGGAACATCATGGTGGATTGAATACTACTCGAACCCTCGAATCAGGCATAGACTCTCACCAGGTTGAAGACATGGGTTATGAGGACACAAATGGTGTCGCTTTTCAACCTACCGAGAATCTGCAATGGATCGAAGACCCCCTAGAAGCCGTTTCCGGAATTGCTGAAGAGAATTTATATCTTGTCTCCCATCCGGGTGTGAGTAAAGGACACAGCGGTTCTGGAATAAACTTGCTGGAATCTTTCGGGATACCGTCGACTGGCGGTTTACCCCAACAGAGCCAAACGACTGGTGATTCTCGATTTGAGAGCTTCACCTGGTATCCCCCCTTGAATTGGGACGAACTTCCTGATATTGAAGAGGAAATAAGCACAGCTTTGAGAGCGGAAACAGAAATTGAGGAGCCAGGTAGGCCGAATCTTGCCCTCAGTAGGCTGCCGGGTCCCGATTCTTCTGCTGGAATCTTTGTTACCGGGCATTTTGAAGACTTGGGAAATGACGAGAACTGGATGGAATATATCTACGAATTCCCTCAGATGATGCTCAAGGCTGGAACATACCCGCCTTTTGTTCATCCAAGTGTTTACCGTTGTTCCGAAGGAGAGGTCACCGCGCCTTTGGCAATAGCATTCTGCTGTTTAGGCTCGTATAATGCCGCAATGCGCAGCAGTGAGAAGTTTGCATATTCAATGATCAACCAAGAACGCGAGAAATTGATCAAAGATTTTGTATGTTGACATAATTCTCATAACGTGTGACCGAGAATCTTGCTAACGAAGGCAGCCAAATATTTGCTTGAAACCTGATATCTGGGTACTCGCCTCTGTGCACGCCATGTGTGTCTACCAAATTATTGGCTTCTTTGGGAAAAGCCCCGAACAGGTCTTGCAGGCACAGCTGCAACAGCCCTGGCTACTAAAGGTGATACGAAATGAATGTTTTGCATAGAGGCTTACCCAGAAGCTCACGATATTTTCTAGATGACGAGATACTTGGCGCGGACTCAGACCACCAAAATTCTCTGTTCTCCGCAAGAAACATGGGAATCATGGGCTCTTTCAGAGACGATTCGTCGCACAATCTTGCTTGTTAATAGTATCAACTCCTTATCATGCAGGGTTGGGAGGCAGGACCCTCGTTTATTCGAATCTCTAGACGATGAACTTGTCTTTCAATCACCTCTGCCCGCAGCTATTGACATATGGAGAGCCAAGACAGCCAACGAATGGACCTCCAAGAAACTATCAATGAGCGTCAAAGCAGCCGCAAGAGAGAAGCTAGAAATTGGCACAGCGATCGAGGGCCTAAGTCTTGGCGAAATAGCTGGGTACTCATATGCTACAGACCCTGATCAATACTCGCGGATGGTGGTAGATTTATCTCGATCAAATTATGGGAACCAGAAATCCTGGCTCTAACCTTTATAGAGAGTCTCAATATCTTGAACTTGCTTTCGTCTTTGCAGTTGGTTTGAATACTACTCAGAGACTACCGGTGAACGATGATCGAATCCTATTCTGAGCATTTCCTCCGCTTGCTTTGGATGACGACTAGCCGACCCCCAAACCCCTTCCCAACCTTTAGCGCTTTATCAGGGTCATCATCCTCATCTATTAATATTACATTCTCGGGGTAAAGCTTGCCAAGGAGTGCCATCTGGATCAGAGGGTCCTTTGCCATGAAAAGATGCAGATCATCTGAACGGCTTTCCCCGTGAGTGGTAACAAACCCGGGAAGGCCAAGAATCTTAGCAGTATCGTAGACATGAAGCAAATTGATCTTGCTGCCATTCCGTTTGTTTATTTGTGATATGGGTTCTTCTACCTCTTCTGATTGAAATAGCCTCTTCTTCTCCTCGCCGGAGTTGCATCTGTAAGCGTACCTGTGGCCTCTGGCAATCTGACCGATATCGATGGCGAAGGAATGAGAGGAATCAACAGAAATTCCAAGCTTCAAAATTCGCCTGGATGAATCATTTGCCTTGTGGACGCCAAATGATGATTTTGTCACCAGTGGGTTAAGAGCGAGGAGAGATGCAGGTGGCCAGTGACCAGGGGGTAGGCTGTTGTTCGTTTTTGGTAGGTCGCTTCTTTCAGCATCGAAGTAGACTGGATGTTCGTAATCGAATAGTATATCGACTTGAGAGTCATCCAGACGGGCGGGGTGATGCCGGAGGAGATGGATGGACGATGAAGATGACAGGAACGCTGGCAGAATCAGACCTTGGGAATACTGAATGCCGTACCCACCAGATGCTAGATTCCGTGCAGTGAAGACCTTTGCAACGTCGACGATGGCGGCTTGTGAGATTCTTCCTGTCAAGCATTGGAGGAGGAACTCCTTGCGGGGTTCCTCAAAGTCCCTTAAACCATGTTTGCTTGTTGGCGGGATTACTAAAGGAACTTTGCTGAAGTTTTCAAACGGCAATAAAGCATCACGCAGAAGTATGATCCGGTGTAGCCATTCATTGTAAAGCTGCATCAGTTGTGCATTGCTTCGAGGGCCAAGCAAGAGACCGGCGACTTCCTGGGTCCACAAATGACCCTCACATTGGCTATAAAGCTTTATAGGCGTCTGTTTCGAACTGTCAGATCGGATGGACTCTCTTGCATATCCCACGAGAGCGTCTCCTATCTTCTGGGCTTGCTCTGAGATTTCTCTCCTGGAGGTGTCACTTCTGCCATAAGACAGAGGTAGTGTCGATTCTCGTCCGGAGACTGCTAAGCTTGCAGCCAATCCATCGATTAAAACCTTTTGAGGCGACAACTCTGTACTGTCATCACTCCCCAGTCCTTGAAGAATGGAATCAAGTAATGGTGCGGTAATTTTGACAAGCTCTCGAGCACGGTATATCCCGGGGCTTGGGTGACACCTTGGATCCAGTTTGGGTTCTTGCATATTGTTCATGACAGCAGCCTCGAAATTAGATTCAGTCGAAATCTTGTACCCCAAAGTCAAGCTTTCATGTCCGGGTAGAGAGTACGGCTCTTGCGTGGCAGATGGCATGATGGGGAAAGTGTAGAGAAAGTGTATTGATCTAGGGGAGTGAAGTTGTCATGGACGAGCTCATTGAATTGTGGTCCGCAGGTACGTTGGAAGGAACAATATTGTATCTGGTACACCATCCGTTAAATGGAAAGCACACGAGAATCCAACTGCGGAGATAACCACCCAGACGTGGTTGGGCTCTCATAGAAAGTGTGGAGTTGCAATTGAAATCTTCCGAGGACAGATGCAAGCGGTACAAGAAACTCCGAATAGGCTAACCCATGCTGCAACTCCGATAAAACAAATTACTAGTTTAACTATACTTTGTCCAAAAAGCCTAAGTAATGCCTGGAGAATTATATTATACAATCTTTTGGTCTGGATTGTTCACGGAGTTCCGTTGCTATCTGCCCCACTCCTCTATGCACGATGACCATGCAACTCCGGTAGATGGCTTTTGAACAACTCAGCTCCGTGCGCTAAATCATGTCCTTCAATTAGGGATGAATAGTTGCCCATTGTCTAACTGTAACTAGGTTGAAATAGACTCTAGCCTTGGATCTGACCATTTGAATAGTTGACAATGCAAGAAACCATGTAGAAGGCGTGCTGAACTAAAAGCCTCTTTCCCATTTGATACGGTCTCATGAGAGACTTAGCCTTAGACTTCTCATGGGAAGATAGCTGAGTTAAAAGATGAGTTTGGACATTAAATACTCTCCCAACCTTCGAAACAGCCATGATATCCCTTGATTGAACCATCAGCAACTGACCACTTGTTTCTGCCTTCGAATCCACCAATACGTCAAAGAACTATTCAAGATGTCGAAAACTTTTCTACCGTCGTGGATACACGACAAAGGCCTGAGAGCCTTGTATCTATGGCTCCCCATTGTCATTTTGAGCAGCTCCTATCAGGGCTTCGATGGCATGATCATGAATGGGCTCCAAATTCTGCCATCTTGGCAATCCCGTATACAAACATAACCGCCCCCTATCCAAAGTCTTACGAACTGACGAAAACAGAATTCAATTATCCCCAAGGTCCGGTGCTGGGCCTCTTAAATTCTATTCAAACGGTGGGGGCTATGCTGGCCCTGCCATTGATTACCCCAGTTGTGGACAAATTCGGCCGCCGCATTTCCATCTTTTTTGGCGCAAGCTGGACTATCGTCGGTGCCATCCTCCAGGCCTCATCTCACCATCTCGCGCAATTCGCCATCTCTCGCTTCTTGATTGGCTTCGGTCTCGCGTTCACGGTGGTGGGTGCGCCGCTTCTTCTTGCCGAGCTTGCTCTTCCTAAGCATCGAGGTGCCATCATCTCATACTTTCCAACTTCCTGGTACATTGGTGCTATCATCGCTGCTTGGGTTACGTATGGAACCCATAAAATTGACAATGCGTGGTCATGGAGAATTCCCAGCCTCCTCCAGGCTGCCCCGGCTCTCTTGCAGCTCCTGCTGATCTGGTTTGTTCCCGAGAGCCCTCGTTGGCTTATCTCCAAAGGCCGTGGCAAGCAAGCTAGAGATATTCTCGTCAAGCATCACGCCAACGGGGACGAAAGGAACTCTTTTGTTGAGCTAGAGTATCGTGAGATCAAGGAGAGTATTGAAAGCGATGCCTCGGTCAAAGAGAAGACTGGTTGGCTCGACTTGGTCCGCACCGCCGGCAACAGACGCCGTCTTATTATCGTCTTCTTCGCTGGCCTTTTCATTGAAGTAAGTGAATCTATGCCGATTCCATTTCTTGTCGCTTACTGACTCTTGTTTTACTAGATCTCTGGTAATGGTCTCGTTCAGTACTACTTGCACGCCGTACTTGTCAGCATTGGTATCACGGATACGACAACCCAAGTCACGATCAACGGTTGCCTTTCGATATACAACTTCGTTCTCGCTACTATAGCCTCTCTATTTGTCGAAAAGGTCGGCAGACGAAAGCTATTCATTGCCTCAACAGCTGGAATGTTTGTCGCATTTATCCTCTGGACAACCTTTGCTGCCCGTAAGCCAGGACTGTATACTGACTGTATGATATGTATTAATAGTAGCTAATACTATTTCTAGTCTTTACGACGAGAGGCGGGTCCGGATACGCCACCGGTGTTCTGGTTTCTATTTTCCTCAGCAATGGTGCCTATGATATTGGTTGGACACCTCTCTGGGCATATCCCGCCGAGACCTTGTCATATGACATCAGAGCGCGTGGTGTTACTCTTCAGACGGGAGTGATGCACGCGTTTGGGTTCTTTGGCACGTTTGTTAACCCCATCGGTCTACAAAATGCCGGATGGAAGTACTATATTGCATACATTGTTTATACATTCCTTGAGGTAAAGTGGAACTCAAGATCTTTTGAGCATACAACAGTATTTCTACTAACACATGTGACCAGCTACTTGTCGTCTGGTATTTCTTTGTTGAAACCAAGGGATTCACACTCGAAGAAATTGCGGTCATATTTGACACCGATGGATTAACTTGGAAAGAAAGGCGTAACATGAAGCCATCAGCCGGATCGCTTGAAGCTCTCGCAGCATCAGACGGTAGGGATTCGGGTGCAAAAGATGTCACTGAGGTGTCTACGAAGAGGGTTTCTGATGAGAACATCTGAGCGTTCCAATGATTTTGATATCAGCTATCAGCAGGAGCAGGGTTGCAGTACCTAATAGTGGCTGAATTAGAGAAGGTCTGCACTGAGTTCGGCCTGAAGCATATTCTCTCACGTTGCTGGTGGTCGAGGAATTACGAATTCTGTGCAAATAATTTCAACTACCTACACTAAGATAGGGCACCGTCAAGGGGCAGATATAAGAAGAAGGAATCTATATTACTCTCTTTCCCTCAAACCGAAATTCAGTCTCAAAGAGTTAGACCACCAATATCATGTGTGTGGCCGAGACCTAGGCCATTCCAGCTTTAGCTTCGTTCTGGGAGAGTTCTCCAAGGGCCTTATCCTGCGATGTGTTGTATGTATCCGCGTATCGCCCCTGCATCCATCGCTGAACCGTAACAGGAGGGTATTTTGGACCTTCAATCTCATCTGCACACTTCGGAAAACACTTGACGAGGAAGTCAGGGTTCCCAGCAAGAAAAAATGGGACGCTGTATCGCTGTTTTCCAGACTTGTTGATCACCCGGTGCAAATTGGATAGATAGCGATCATTAGTCCATCTCATCATCAAATTACCCAGATTTATGACCAATGCCCCTCGCTGAGGGGTAGCATCAATCCAGGCCGAGGCGTCCCTGTCCCAGACTTGCAAGCCACCTACCTCATCTTGTAAAAGTATGGTTACAGCACCAAAGTCAGTGTGCTGCCCGATACCTGTGAATGGCAATTGAGTCACAGTTTCGGTGCATAATCCAATCAATATATACATACCTCGTTCAAATTCCGATGCATCAGGAGCCTGCGGCGGGTAATGTAGCAATCGAAGTGTGGCTATAGGGATATCCAGAAACTCTGACATCCATTCGTTGGAGATCTCCATTGTCTCGCATAAAACCTGGAGAATGGTCTTGGATAGAGAAAGCATGGTGGAATAGTATGCATCCATGGTCTCCTTGAATTTCACAGGATCCGCAACCTCCTTCGGATACTTGTTAGGGCCCATGTTAAACTTCCCCGCCACAACTCTTGGGTGGTCCAAGGGAAGGTCTGCTCCAAAGTAGTAACCTTCTTTCAAATCTCCGGCCGTTCTTTTCTCGAAGTTTTGTGCGCGAAGTCTTTCATATCCCCTTTGAAACTTGTCTTGGTCTGTCATTGTAGACAAGTTGTCAGCGAGCAGCCGAACATTTCTCTTTTAGCATCAGAAACCGACCTTTGCTATACCTTTCCTTCACATCTTCTGGGAGACTGAAGAAGCTCGCGCTTTGCCTGATCATTTCGTCAAACAAGTCCTGCGGAACTCCATGGTCGACAAGTTGAAAGAAGCCGTATTTTAGACAAGCGTCTCGAACCTGAGTCACTACTCGGGCTCTGGAGGCATCATCCTTTTCAAAGATTGCTGGCCGATATAACATATCAATTGATAAATTCTGAGCTTTAAAACAGGGTGGCAGTTTGGAACTTACGAGCGAAGCTTATGGTAGGGATCGGCATAGTGTAGACAGGTCTTTTCCCTTTGTTCGAACCCGCGATTTTAGTGATGATTGTGAAAGTCAGCATGAATCCTCTGCGAAATTCTACGGCTCAAACTCAAATATATAGCTGTCTCAAGTCACAGCAAGTAAGCACACGTGGGCAACGCTGATTAGAGTGACTAAGCACGGCCGAGATAAGAGATCCGCTTGTTAAGCCTGGGATGGGATGCCTGCTGTCTTTTTAACTTTCGGCTGTGTCAGCGGCGTTGCGTGGCCTAAAATGGTTTCCCTCAGCTACTTGGATTACTCCGGCTTTCCCTCTTCATAGCTCGCCTGAAGGACTAGTATGGCGCCAAATTACCTCAGGGCGGTTTTCAATGAGTGGGAAATCCAGTGCAAGAGATTTTTCTTCTGGATTGCCCCACAATCCTCATATCACGGCCGTATTCTTCAGACCCCGGCCGGAGGTGGTTCGCAAGAGATTGGCAACCTGAATAATTAAAGCGCCAGATTCTGGAATGCAACGAACGTCACGAGAAGTCCCTGGGGGCCAAAATTCCAGTCTTCTTCTGTATTAAACTTGTCACCTCTCCGCAGCTATAGTTATACCCTTCATAGTGAAACTTTATATTAGGAACAAATGCGTGAGGCTATAATCCTCTCCAAGTCCATTTATAGGTATCCTACTAACTACTTAGAATTACATTATTAATTAGCAGTATATTATATTTAGGAATTACTAAAGCCTATAAGTACTTATAGAATCAGATGGTTAAGGGGATTATCTTTCTGGAAGAGACAAACCCCAGCGGCCACTGGTATCCCGAACAAGACTATAGCGCCATCGAGGAGGATGTCAATGAGACCAGCCCTCTACGCGGGCGTATGGCCAAGACGCCCGCCGTCGCGAGTAGGTCCTCTGTGGACGCTCAGTCCAGGCCATTGATTGCTGGGGAAGGCCTCCCCTTGCCCATCGACCCCAGTATCAGGGGTCAGCAATAGAGCTATCCGCAAGGGTTAATTCGTATGGATGGGCTCTTCATAGGTTGATGACCTGGCTGTCTGATGAAGGAAGGGGTGAAGATCGACATGTTAGGGCTTATCCAGCCGGGACATTTGACTCTCGGTTCAATGTCAAGTCGCGCATGGTGTGTTGTATCGACACATGATACAGTAAGCCCGTAATGCAGTATAAATAGGTCTTCGTCCATCCAGAAAACGAGACCTTTCTTTGACGCTTTCAACCACACATCTATCCAGCAATCTTTATCAGAATATTAAATTGGGCATCAATTCCCCGACGAAAATGAGTCAACGATACCCAAAAGAATTCCATAACCGCACAGCTATTGTTACCGGTGCAGCTGGGAGCATCGGGGCGCCCCTGTGCTTGGCCCTGGCCAGAGCCGGAGCCAACGTTGTTGCGAACGACTACGGATGCTCTGTCTCCGGAGAGGGCTCATCATCGGACCAGGTTACACAACTGGTTGAGAAAATCAAGGAAGAAGGTCTGGTCGCTATTTCAGACACACATGATGTCAGCACCGAGGCGAAAGCGATTGTTGATGCCGCGATAGCCAGCTTTGGACGAGTCGATGTGATTATCAACAACGCCGGGATCATCGAGTACGGAGCAGTCGAGAATCAAAGTCCAGGCGTTGTTCAAAAGATATTTCAAGTCAACGCTCTTGGTGCATACGCGCTTTGCCATTATGCTTGGCCTCACATGAAGCGTCAAGGCTATGGACGAGTAGTCAACTTCACTTCAGACTCAATATTTGGGTTGGTGAACAGCTCTGGTTATGTTATGGCCCGCGGGGCTATGCTTGGTATTACAAGAAGTCTCGCACTGGAGGGAGCTCCTCATGGCATATTGGTAAATACCGTCGCACCGGCTGCTTTCTCACGCATGATGGCCGAAGTGTCGAGGGATATACCCACCGCGCAGCTCGAATGGATCAAGGCTAAATATACTGGAGAGTCAAACCTTCCTGTGCTGATGGCACTTGCTAGTGAGAAAATAACACTCTCAGGAGAGATATGGCATTCGGGGGCTTATTCTGTCGGGCGTGGTATTCTCGGGACGACCAAGAACAGAACAGACATTCATACCACAGATGACTGTATCAAGGCTATGGAGAAATTGAAAGCAGAAGAATCGGATTGGGCAGAGCCAAAGAGTGTTTCGGAATTTCTCAGTTTCAAAGCGACTTAGATCCAAAACAAAAACATAGTTGTACCTAGCATGGCACGAAACTATGCGTCTTTAAAGTCAATGTACTATTAGGCAAATAAGACATAACCAAACGAGCTTTGCTCCAAGAGTGGTATGGCCGCCAGTGGGCAATAAGAATATAACAAGAGGACTGAACGGATAAAATGGAAGCAATACAACAACATCTCTACATTACTCGGGTATCGCGTCTCAGATAGGGCAATTAGGTTCTCATTTGTTTCCTCTCGATTATTTCTTCCGTGTTGCCTGGCTAGTTTTCAAACGTCCAAGACAGGGTCTCTCTGGTTACTATCTCAATCAGCGACGTCTGGTGAACTCAACTAAAAGGTTATGGCGTCATAGGCATAAGACAGAGGTAAATTCCGTCTGACTCCCCAGATTTATTTTTAATGGGCATACATGTATTCATGCGGAGCTTCGGTTGTCTGTCCAGCATTGTTATTTATGCAGCGTACCGCCCCCACCAGCTAACAACATTCAAATCAGGTGTCGTCATTAATCTTGGAAATAGAACCTATTTCTAACCCCTTAGGACGACCGCATAGAAGTTGATGCACAGGATCATCACAATAAACCGCACTCATGTCAGATTCCTCGGAGTTGGGGGGCATTGTCCGCGAGCTTTCAAACGCTTTCGCCGTGGACTTCCCGCAACCTCATTCCCCTATGTCAGGCGCGTCTCATGATGTCTGGCTCCTCGACGATCCTACGAATGGCGAGACGTGGAGTATAAGAATCGCCAAGAATGAATTCGCAGCTTCTCTGAGCGATCGAGGAGCGGCTATTCTTCAATATCTCAAAGAGAAGCGCCCGATGCTCCAGGTTCCTAAACTTCTTTGCCAATCGAAGCAATATTCTGTTTTCCAGTATCTCGGCGGAGAGCCAATTGATTATTGGGATTCCAATAAGCTTTCGGATAAGAGAAGGCATCATTTGCTTGACAGTTTGGCAGTATTCCTCTTTGAAATGTGGACTTGTCCTGTGCCAAGGGGTGGTGAGTTCTCAAATCTCTTCTTTGTAAATCTCTTCTTTGTGTGACGGAGGAACTAATGAGTTTTTGTGAAGCTTGTCCCGTTGACTATAGGAGATGGCTGCAGTCAGAGGTTGACCTGGCGATTATTCGTTCGCTGGAAGTCGATCCAGGCTGGGGAGACCTAATCACTTTTCTCCACCGACGAGCAACCGCAGAGGATATTGTTCCAGAGGGTTCCTTCCCAAGAGCAGCCATCAAGCACGGCGATTTCAGCGCTTGGAACGTTTTGATGGATGATAAGGGGATATCCGGGTACGTTTATGGCTGATTCTTCTGTTTCGAGCTGATGTACTGAGGCCCCATGCCAACAGAGTAATCGACTGGGACACGGCGCAGTTCGTCCCAATGCCAGCTGCCATCCACCATCCTCTCTTCATTGCCGACATACCAGGTTGGCAAAAAGCCGTTCCGGAAAACATGAAATTTGCGAAGGACCGAAAATATCTCCAAAATGCCATCGCTAAGATAGCAGGCAACTCGAACCACCCGGACGCTCAGAACATCTCTCGACTCTTATCTAATTGCTTTGAGCGACAGTTCTTTGAACTTTCGCTCCGTAGTAAGCTAACAAATGAGCATTACATCGAGACAAGAATCAAAGGGTCTATGGTTGAGAAAGTAGTTCTCCAGAAGCAACTGGGAGCCTTCCTTGCCATTTATTCAGGACTGCGAACTAATCCGACCATTCTAGCGCTTCAAGAACGCATGAGGCGGACAGAAGGGGTCAGCGTACCCATAATGAAAGATCAAAATATCTCACATGTGGCATAGAATCGCCGAAGAGTTACGCATGAAGGTTACGGGGCTATATCTTGAGGTATGACCACAGTAGCGACTACATTTGCTTTCTTCCTAAATCCTGGAATGGCCTGTGATTTTTTTTTATCGTCACATGTTAGCAACTACACACGCGGAGGAATAAGAACAAGCATCTTGAGATGAGAAGGCATTCTGCTATATAATAACCAAGTAATATTCTGTCAAATTCTTGTGTGGGCAATTGTGTGCCTCGGACCATTATTCATAACCCTAACATACGAAATCATTTCCATTCATCATTTAGCTTTGGGCTGCTCGCTCTGTGCCCGACGCCGTTGTTTCCTAGGTCGCCTGTCCAACGCTGTCGCACGACTACGGCGATCTACTCCTGCAGGAGAGATATCAACAGCAGAAGACGGGCCTTCGCTCCCATCAACTCCCTGAACCTGTTCGATCTCTCCGTCCCTAGTTAGCCGCAGTTTCTGCCTTTGGCCTAGAACTCTTCGTGGCATCAATCTCGGCGGGACTTTGAGCCCCATACTAGACAGTGCCCAGTCGGCCCAGCTTTGGGGCGGGGGAACCCAGAGGCCGATATCCAAGGTGTGGTGTCGTTGTTCCTGAGGCAAGTTGAACCAAACGAATTCCTTGTTCGAGTTTATTCGACCCTCCATGACAAAGTCACCCATTTCTCTGGGGATTCGGAGTGGTTCGACAAGGAGGATGGGCTGGTACGCTGGAATCAAGAGGTGGATCCTCACAGGCCGTACTGACTTGCCTGCTTCCTGTGCTCTCCTCTCCTTCTCCACTTGGCGCCGTCTTGTCGCTAACATGAAGACGAAGGCGGTATCAATCTGGTTGGTATAGCCGCAGAAGCGAGGCCCAACGGGGTTCTTCTCGAGGAGATGGTAGAACTCGGGATACCAGTCATTGTCCGGGTGGTAGAGGAAGAACCAGTGATCGCACGCCGCATCGTCCATCGTCTCGCCCAACCGCTGCTGAATCATCTTATACACATAGCCCGGGAAATCCCTCTGCGCCCGCAGAGCGTTCTGTGCGGCGAGATGTGTCGAGATGTCCTGGAGCCGGGCGCCGATCAGCTCGAGGGCCTGGACGCCCTGGTAGGTCACGATGACGTTGGCGCCGATGCCCACCGCCGTCGCTATGGAGCTGAAGGACGTGAAGACCTTTGCGCTGTCGCAGACGCACTTCCCCATGACCTGCATGGAGGGGACGAACGCCATGACCGCCCCGGCCACATCGCCGACCTTGGGGATCAGAGCGTTCAGGTTCTCCTCGACATTGCCGCCCCTGCTGATGCTGCTGCCGACGCTGTAGAGCCCAATCCCGGCCTGGATCAGCTTGACGACGGGAGACTGGCTGCCCGCAGCGGCTTGGGTGGCGGCCTGCGCGAACTTTTTGGCGGCCTCCCGCACCACCTTGTTCTTCTGGAGTACGGGCAGAACCTCCTTGACGCCCATAATTTGTGAATGAGAGTTTGAAGCCGAAGGGGCTGTCTTGGTTCGAGAGCTTGATCGTTCACCGCCAGGGCGATCTGATTACTAAAAACCGGGGTCCGATTGAGAGGGGACCAAGGGATGAATGAAGGTGGCCGGCCGGAAAACTCGGGAATCTCTCCCCAGCCAGAGGTCGGTTTTGAACTTAGACGCGATCGTTTGAATTATTGCGGTTGAGAAGCTGCAGAAAGAGCATGAAAGAGGTTCTGGATCTTTCCTGCGGAGGTCCAAGTAATGGGAGAATGGGGAGACGGGGGAAGAACAGGCGCCACGTCGGTTTGCTGCTTGTCGACTCATGATTGGCACAGAGCCAGCCACTACCGCCTCACTGACCTCGCGGTCGGGCCTCTGAGGCGATTGGGCATTCTGTGACTCCCACTTCATCATGCAAGAGGTCGCGCTAGCAAGGGTAACAAAGGGGGCGGCGAATGTCTCCTCCTGTGATATGTCAGCGCATGACCGTGTTTTGGGCACGAACAGCATCCCTGTCCTACCCTATAGCCCAACAACTATACCCCGCATGAACATTCACGTCCAGTACCAGAGAATAATAACACGAGATAAAGATATGTGAATTGAATAACACTCTCTCGTTGAGAGACTTGAAAGGAAACTTGTTATCCATGATTTCGCTATTAAAAAGTTGCTGAATAGCCCTGTGCTTGGCACCTTAGTGGGAACGTAAGCTGTTGCTCAGGCTACATATGAAGGGTTGATGACAAAAAAAGGCCCCAACTCAGTCATCTGAAGCAAGGTTGTTGAAAGATAGAACTGTCATCATCAAACATAGAAAAGTTTCGTTTTCAGTAAACCAGCGCTGTTCAAAACTGGCACCACCTCAACCATGACCGAAATCCTACAGAAGCAAATAAATCTACAGCAGATCTCATCCAACAAGTATTCTGCTTCCTGGCACAATGATTGGGTCGTCGGAAAAAGTATAACCCCTACATGCCATACCTCATTGGAGAAAAAAGGGGCTCACCGCTAACACACATGTTAGCCCTCAATGGCGGTCACTTGGCCTCTGTACTCATGCATGCTGCGCGCAGGCATCTCTTATTAGATCCAACGCTCGCGGCCCGAGATCAGCCTGATGTTCTGAGCCTTCATATTGAGTTTCTGCATGCTTGTGAGGTCAAGGATACAACAATCACGATTACGACACTTCGGACCGGCTCCAGCACAAGCACTCTGCTATTGGAGCTATCCCAGGACAGCGGGACCCCTGGGAAAAGCCGCCCAAACGCCATTGCCATTGCCAACTCGACCAACTTTGATAAGGTACTCGGCCCATCAGCTCCCACTGATTGGACTCTGCATCCACCACCAAAACCGATTCCCAACTTTGCCCTTGTTGAGGCCCATAAACCAGAGCCCAACTGGATTTCTTGTACAGTCGCGGGGGAGCTGCTTCCTTTCACCCGCCGCTCCTTATGCCTAAACCCTCGCGGGGGCTTCCCTACTGCCGGCGTATATGACGCATGGAATTCTTTCCGGGATGGAGAGCTTATGGATGCCACTTACTTTGGACTCTTGAGCGATTTCATTCCAGCTGTAGGTGATTCTCTTACAGGTGAAGGCATGTATAATGCACATGCATTTTATGAGAAAATGGAGCAATGGGACAAGGAAAACCCAGGTGTCCCCGCACCCCTGACAAACACGATTGCGGAAGCTATGAAGGCTCCAACATTCAGCCAGACGGTTACTCTGAATCTTGAATTCAGAAGACGAGTTCCCGCAGAGGGGCTCCGCTGGGTCTTTACTAGAACAGCAGCAAAGATGATGGAGGGCGGTAGGATGGGGGTGGATATCACTCTGTGTGACGGGAATATGAATTTGGTTTGCGAAGCACATCAACTTATTCTCGCTTTGGATGCTCAGAGGAAGTTTCTTAGTAGGAAGTCGAAGCCTTCGTCTCTCTAGCTGGAACCATGGTGAGGCGGGCATAAACTAGAAAGTTACATGTAGGAACAAATTCATAAGCGTGCCACAAGTTCTCAATTATCGGTGTGCTACTTCATATCGTAAATTCCAAACGAACAAAATATGGATTGACTAGAGCAAGATATTGATTTGAGAGGCAAGCACTCTTGTTCATCGACAGACCTCATGTTTAATGAGGACCGGGCCAATTAGGATAGCTCGGTTGCCAATTCGGGAATGAAGCCCAGTGAAATTCTCCACGCTTCCAATATCGAAGCTCTGTGATTGGTTTTGGTGTCTGGCGGAGTTCCGCCGTCTTCTTATCGATAACAAACGCCCATTTGGAGGATGAACTCGATGTGGGGTTGGGATACAATAGACAGTTTCTATATTACAATGTTGAACTCTCTTAATTTTTTATTATAAGAAATTTAGTCATTATCTTCTTAGACTCATATTACTATCTTACTTGGCCCCAAACCAAAAAAACAAGTAAAAAAACAAGTCATCATGGTCGCCCTGGGTGTTGTCAAACAATCCAACTCGCAACTCAAGGGTGCTAACTTACCCAAAGTTGCTGTCTTTGTCGGTGGTACATCTGGCATAGGCCAACATACTATTTCTGAATTGGTTGAAACTGGTGTCGAAACCAAAATTTACCTCATCGGTCGCCCATCCTCTAGTGAGAGAGCCAACACCCAAATTGCTACCCTCGAACAAATCAACCCCAGTGCAGAGGTTGTCTGGCTTGCCGGAGAGGTATCGCTTCTCGCAGATGTCAAGCGAATTTGCACCGAGATTCAATCTAAAGAGACAAGTCTCGATCTCTTGTTCATGTCAACAGGGGTCTTGCCCTTCAATGGCAGGAAGGAAACAACTGAAGGGCTTGACCCCACCTTTACGCTCCAGCATTTCTCAAGAATGGCTTTCATAACGCACCTGCTTCCTCTCCTAAAGGCCTCTCCAAACGGGCGAGTTGTCAGCATCAAAGGAGGCGGCTTGGAGAAGGCCGATATCGATGTGGACGACTTGGAGTTGAAGAAGCCGGGCGCCTACGGTGCCATCCGAACGCAGATTCAAGTTATTGCTATGAGCACTCTAGTCATGGAGAAATTTGCGGAACAAGAACCGGATGTCACATTCGTCCACACCTTCCCAGGACAGGTCAATACTGGGAACAACATGACATCCGACGTGGCGCCAAATTCGCTGATGCATTGGGCTATGCGGCTCTTGGTTGGGCCTTTGGTCAAAATCATCGGACTGAGTCCCAAGGAATCGGCTCAACGCCATCTATTTGCCAGTACAAGCGCTCTATATGGCGGTCGGGGTGTCCCTGCAGATTTGCCGGGGGCGATGAATACACGAGGCGGGAATGGTCCTGGGCTGTTTTTGGTGAACCAATACTGCGATGCCAGTATGAACGAGAAGGTCCTCGGACACCTCAGAGAGACAGCACAGGAAAAAATCTGGGTGTATACACAAGAGGTCCTCCGGCCTTTTATGTAGTCGTTATGGGGGACATATAATTTGGTAGAGGAGAGGCTTCGGCGTGAAACATCAGTTTGT